AAATACTTTAATTTGTCTTTTAATGATAATACAACACGTTTTCTTTTCGATGACATATCGGTAATATTAAAAATAAATACTTTATTTAAATCGTGATCAAATTTTCAAGAAACAAATGTTTTATTGAATTTGGACTACTACTGACCAGCGCTAACAGACTAGCTATTGTTTAAAAGGCCCTCTGGCGGCTCAAGAAGACGGATTTTATAAAATAAAAAGCAGTCGAAACTGCATTTTTATGAATAAAAATTTGACAAACTATTTATTGTTTTATGACGAGTAAAATTTTTTCGGCGCGTTCTCGGCTTTTAAGTAATGCATAAACCTTCGAGGAGGGAGGCCCTTCGGACCGCGAGGCATAGGTGGTGGCCCACATTGCCCATGCCTTACGCCACCCTTGGTTATAGAAATGATGTAATTTGAGTATAAATTATTTATAAATCCGTATGTCAAGTTATATTTTTATTACGACGCAAAATATATTTAAGATTTTATGACCAGTGTGCCGGGTGAGACGTTGTTGAAACAAAAAATGTTATGCATTCCATCACGTACATAAACAGTATCATAATTCACCAAGTGCAAATTAGCAAATTCGTAAAATTTTTGTTTATTTTGAACAATCCGGATAATCGAAAATCCGGATAATAGAGGTCCGGATAATCGAGGTTCTACTGTATATACATATATGAAGGCATTCAATAACTTTTCCAAGTCTGATAACTCAGAAAAATTTACTTATAACAGGCATGAATGTTATACTAAACATTAGCACATTTCTTTATTTATAGATAGATCTAACTACAGATAAGCAATATTATTGATTAAATCTGACTTTATGCATATATGCTGTAATATCTCAAACACAAAGCATAGACAGAGTAGTGGATATATCTTATTACTTGAATGGACAGCATGATGAGTGTTTGTGTGTTTGAGATGTAGTCTCATGAAGAGGTGAAAGTAATTACTTTGGCGTAAGCAGCCTAGTGGTTTATTGGAAGTGAAATTCAGATAGTCTTGTAGAGGTGTATGAAATGATTTGATATCAGTTCAGATGATGTGGAAATTGTATCAGATATTTGCTGAAGAACAAACAAACATTTCTAATAAATTTTGAACCAATTGCCCCATGAAAAAACAAAATGGAATATGATTTTAATTTGCAAACCATGAATTTTTTAAAATAAAAAAAACAAACATTTCATATAACATTGCAGCAAAAAAAACCTTTGATAAAATTTAATTAAACACAAAGAAATTCAAAATTTAACATCTATAAAACATAACTAACTTGAAAGAAATACATAAAATTACATAGAAAACTAAGGAGGGAGAACTCTAAGATGGACTAAAGAAAATTTATCACATGCATTTTGTTCACTTCAGTACCGTTATGAAAAATGCATAAAAATTCCAGGCCCCAGAAACACAATACGAAACAGTAGCAGTGTCAAAACTTCAAAAATATTTCATTAATTATTACAATAATAATTCAAAAATACCTGTGATCCAGTAGGTAATAGAAGTACAGGTAATTTTCTTTTTATCTCTCTTCCTACTGTTCCACCTATCAAAGGATAAAATTCATTGTTAAATATTATATATTTTCTTATCTATTAGCTAAAATACAATAATCCAAAGTTTGCAACCATTACATTTTTGTAAATACTTACAAATTCAACTATATATAATCTGGTATCTGAATTCTTACTAAAATGAATGACTTTCGTTAATACCAATTGCAATATTTGAATCAAATAATCCAGGTATTACAAATTGCCTTGAAACATATTTATGCAAAATTAAAAAATTCTGTTAATAAAAGTGAGAAGCAATGAGCCATGCCATTCTCAGTGTTTGTTTCAGAAGTAACCTACCACTGTTGTACAGTTAAGTAAATTTTTATCCTAAAATATCAGCGCAACCATCCAAGATTTTCCTTCACAGTTCATTATAATAGGTTCACTACCACCTTTGTTTATTTTATTATTCAGTTCTCATAGAATAATATTTTAATATAAAATGTACAATATGATTTCATTTTCAATGTTGTTTATTGTATATTAAAAAAATGCAATTCCTGTATAATCCTAATAGGAGAATAGTATACAAACTTATTGCATTAGTGCTTACAAATATATCCTTTAATGAGCCCATTAAGTATTTGTTAGTAAAATAATTGAAGTTTGTAATGTTTAATACTATTTCAAAATCACAAATAGATTAAAATACAGGTAAACAGGATTTTGCAATGCCATCGGGAATATTGATGAGAGTTATTTCTAAAACCAGAAGCAAGTTTTAATTTTTCCCATTAGAAATAATAGAATACACTTCCAACTCTAAATTCTTCATATTAGAATAATTTTTATGAATGCATTGATAGTGCCTGACTTATGAGATTTTACTGTGTTTAGAATTACAAAACTATTTACACTACAAACCATTTATTATAAATATTTCAAGTACATATTTTTTAAATAATCAGTTTAATATCACATTATTCACAAATATAATAACAGCATATACCTAAACCATTAATAGTATTTAATAACATTAAGTATTATTAATGGCTTAGGTATAAAATATAGTATATAGTATAAAAATAGTGTGTTATGTAATTAAATATCACACAAAACTTTAAATCAACATTATTATATAATACTAGCTGTTTACCTGTGGCTTTGCCTGAGAGGAATTTGCAAGCGAACCCCATTTATATTCAGTATTTCAACAACCATAGTAATTGTTATATAACACCTACCGCTGAGAATGATGAGAATTGCTGAGAATCAAATTAACTGTTTTTAATTTGATCAATTTTCTGGAACGTTTACAATAGTCTATAATCAAACCGATATGCAATAACAAATTCGAATTTAAAACGGTTTGAACATTTGGTTAAAAAATCGAAATAGATAAAAATATTTATAATAATGTCTGAAATGTTATCAATTTAATACTCCTAAAGTACTCAATGAAGACTAAATGTAGTTGAAAACAAAAAATCACATTTAAATAGTACAGTAGAAGTCGTTCTTCCGGTTAAGCCTTAATCTTCTCCCTCTCCCCCTGCTCGGGAATATAAAAAAATCACTTCTTAGTGTGCATTCCCATGGAATACCCTACTAAAACGCAGATAAAAACAAAAAATTGCATCTAAAATAGTACAGTAGAAGCCGTTCTTCCAGTTAAGCCTTAATCCTCTACCTCTCCCTCCACAGGGGAATTTCGAAAAATCCCTTCTTAGTGCGCGTTCTCATGACGTACCCTAACTGTGTACCAAATTTCACCTCTTTAGGTTCAGCGGTTTGCTCTGGGCAATGATGAATCAGTCATTCAGTCAGTCAGGACAAGCAATTTTATATATTTAGATTATAACTATAATATGTATCATTTTAAAAGTTACTTCTTTATAAGATCTGAAAGACCACATTATTTATGTCATGAGGAAATTTGCAACTGCAATGTGAGACAATGTTGCATGAGAATTTGAATACTGAATGGACATTGCATAGAGCAACAAAACAGAATCAAACTAAAGGGAATTAATTTTGAAAAAATGTAAAAAATAATCTTTGAGTGGTTGTATTATTAAAATATATAGTGAAAATTATACATTCCTAGTTTTATTCATTTTCCAAATAAAACTGAAATATATTTAATTTTTCTAGCTGTATACCTTATATGTATTTTTTAAACCTATAACTATATTCAATTATTACTAATTAAGTAATAAATCTAAAACTTACCCACTACAGTTTCAATCGTTTGACTGGTTGATGTATTGACTTCTTCTTCCATTGCAGTTTCCTTTTAAATAAAAATTTAAAAAATTACATCAACAAAGCTGAAACAATATTCACATTAGTACCTTTCACTTCTTATTTCTTTCCAGCATGTACAGTAAAGCGTCATTTTTCCGAAAGTCAGTTATCCGAAAGGATTCCAGTCGGCAAATTTAAATTTTCGCTAGTGCTGTGGCACTGCAATCTTTAGCTATATCTTGGGCTACTCCAATATTTTTTTTTTTTTGATGATGTGTGTTTTAGCTGGCAACACTTGCACTTTTGTATAGTTTTTTTCTGAGGACTGTGTGTCATGCTGAATCGAACGTTTTTGATACTAGATTAACTTCTAAAGTATAATTTTTTTTGTTTTTATATTTTTCAATATACAGTAGAGCATCGATTATCCAACTCCCGATCAACCGTCTCATCGGTTAACCGACCGCATTCTAGTCGGCAAATTCAAATGTCCACTAGTGATGTGGCACTACAATATTTGGCTAGTTTAATATTATTTTTGTTAAATTTTTGGTGTTTTAGCTGGCAACACTGGCTTGACTATGAAAGGGATGCCAGTATTTAAACGAGGCTTAATTTTCTAATTATGAGTGATTGTTTGTTTTGTGAGCAATAAAATAATTTAAAAATAATTTTTAACAATACAATAGCAACGATTATTATTTTTAAAAAAATTTTGTTAGGCTTAACATCGATGAAAATTGAACGCGAAGTAAGTTAATAGTGATATACTAATTACATGGGATATACTAATATACTATACTAATAATGTATTTTTTCATACTTTTTGGTTATCCGTTTTTTCAGTTATCCGACCAACCCCAGTCCCCAATTGAGTCGGATAATCGATGCTCTACTGTATTTATTTTGTTTGTAAAAAAAAAAGAAATAATTTTTAACGATACAATAGCCACGATTATTATTTTAAAAAGTTTACATTAGGCTTTACATTGACAAAATTTGAACACAAAATGACACTCAACGGAAAAAAGTTTCAACATGGGATAGGTTAATATAATATATTTTTTTGTACATAATTGGTTATCTGAAAAATAAGTTATCCAAACAACCTCAGTCCCCAATTGATTCAGATAAACGACACTCTACTGTAGTTTACTAATTCAAACAAACATTTTCAGCCACTTAAGTGGCACTCATCATGTATAACTAGCTCATTTAGAAGATTTTGTGAGGGACGAATAGACCCTTAATAAAGTGTTATTTTAACTTTTAATTCTTAAAACATTTCATCATATAAAATCGAGCGTTAGGCTAAAAGCCATAAAAATTTATTTCCCACGGAGTTGGTTCCTTGTTGAAGAGGATTTAGCTAGTCAGCGATGTGTCACCCAGAACTTTCAATAGAGTGCCTATATTGGACGCCAGACCGTTAACAACAACCACCTGACCTCATGGAAAAACCCAAGAGGAATAACAAGAGAAAAGGGAAAAACACCCGAGGTCAGTCGTCATCCAAAGTCCCTCTACAAAAGTCGTCCTCAAGGATTAACCCTGTGAACCCGAATCCAGACGTAAAACCCGTGCACCAGAATCCAGAAGTAACACCGTGCCTCTTTAAGAATCTCACCCCACTTCCGTGCTTCCACACCTCCGAGCTCCTGTTAACGGACCAGAATTTGAGAGAACATTCCATTGAAGTCAACAGTGTCATCATACTACAGATCTGCGACCTAGAAGAAAGGTATTTATCAACCCGCGATTCGGTTGTAAACTCTCTCTCTCGAACGGCTTAGTATCATTAGGGTAAACTTTAGACATGCCCAATATCGAATATATCTGTATTTTCTTTAATACTTATTAAAATTGTTATTTATTTGTTACTATGGAGTCCAAGTGAGTCACTTCCTCGTCTCTCTCTTCACCTCTACTCCGCATCCAATCGCTCACCCGCTACCACTCGTGTGACGTAACGTCGCGATTTCCGAGTCCTTAGAGACTTGGTGGTGTCAGATTCAGGTCTCCTGATGTGGTGTCAAAGAGACACTGACCCTTCGGTCACAATTTCATTGCACTTAAAATTTTTGTCTTTAGCCATGCAATGTTCCAAACAGATGTTCACATAATGACAATAATTTGTCATTTGTGCTAATGAATTTGTGCTTTCTAAATAACACCTGTAGATCATTTAGAAAGAGTAAAGCTTTCCAGGCATGTGAAAAGCTTAGTTTATATTTATAGTTAATGCATCCACCTTTGTGTCCTTGTTTAAAAATTTCAATTGTTTTGTAGTAATGTTTGTTTGTGCTGGAAAGAAGTAGGAAATGAAAGGTATTAATATAAAAACTTAAAAAAGAAAATTCACACAATTAACTTAGTAAGTGCTTAATAACTTAGTAACTTAATAAGTTAACATAAATTTTAATCTACAGAATACATTTGATGCATTGTACAAATGTAAATTTTTTTGAATTAACTGCTGGTACTGGCCAATTTTGGTCAGTTAAAATTGATTCTGAAGATTGTCAGAGAAACAAGATGGTTGATATCAGTTCCTATTCAGATGATCTTTACTCAGCCTATTTAAATGAGTTTATCCAATTCCTAGCAAAATATTGTCTGCACATGCACATAAAATCAGAAAATTTCAAAATGATTTAAAACATTTTTAGCTTTAAAAATTTCCTTCGTTCTGAACTATAAATCTAGTATTTATAAATTTGAAGAAAAATGGATGAATTCTTTGACTTTACACCAAATGTAACAGTTTCCTTGACTTTTCTCTTTTATAAAATTCCCTGACATTTCCCATTTTCCAGTGAGGGGAATTCTACATAAAGTACACATAATTAAAAAACATATAATAGAATAGAAACTTCAAAGTTTTCTCTGCATTAAATGCTTTGTAAATCCATTAACACTTAGTAGTCTGGAATCAATTGCTACTATATACATAGATTTTTTTAAACAATTAAATCTGGCAATTACCACAAATTAACAGTTAATGACAGCTATAAATCTCCATTCTTTTTGTTTTTATGATTTGTATAATAAGATAATATTTTCATTTGTATGATATACAATATCCTTTAATGTAAATGTAAAATTTGATTATTCATAGACATTCAGTCTTGCAATATTTTTGCTACAAAAAGCATATTTAATATTCACATAATGATCATTCATATAAATAACTTTTTTTATTATTGACTTCAACTTATCAATTATATCTTCTGAAAGAAAAGAAACTTTAAAAACTGAAATAAAAATCATAATGCATATTATTCTGGAATTTTTCTTTCATTTTCACAAATTAATTTGTTCTTTTTTCCAAATATTGTAAATCATCATATCATTCAGAATTGAATTTAAAATATTAAACCTATTTATTTTCAAATTTTAAAAATATATGCCTTACTTCTTCTTGTACTCTTGACATTTCTTCAACACCTTTTCCTAATCCTGCAGCTGTTAATTGTGTAGCAATCAATCGTGCCAAATGTTGTATTTGTGATGATGTCCCTGCAACTGCTATGGGGGTATAAGATGATTGAAACTGTGCTGGCATTGTTTCTGGTAATGAAAGCTAAAATAACATAAAATTTATTATTATAAACATTTAGTTTTTGTGTCTTTTTAAATTGTAGCAAAAAAAAATACAATATTACCATGCTAACAAGAACAAGATCAGTAACATTTAAAGAAGTCAATCTTGGCATTATATCATCTGCAGTTATATCAATTGCAGTATTTGTTGCAGCTTTTGATATCTGTGCAGATTCTAACTGTTCTTCTTCTTCTTCTTTTTCATCCTCTAATTCTGCCTATATAAATTTGATTAAATTAATGAAGAAATATAAAATTTGCAATTTAATTATTGTTTTTCAAATAATATTTCTCACTTCTAATTTTATACGTTTTGAAGTAGCAGAATCTTCAGTAATTCTTGTTCTTTTCTTCAAATTTTCTGGTTTAGGCATGCTTTTCATTATCTTTATTTAAAGAAAATAATTTGAAATCTTTTTAATCTTTTAATTAATAGTAATTCATCAATATTTAAATTATTCAAAATTTGATACTTCTTGTTGAGTAGCACCCAAATCTGTCAATAAAGTTGTTATTTGAGTATGAAAATCCACAGCTGCTGGATGTTTTAACAAAATCAATAACTGGAGCTATTAAAAAATAATTTTAATTAAATTCTACAAAGTAAATTATTAATATTAAAAAAAATCTATAAAATATCTTATAATTCCATTAATTTAACCACTTTTATAAAAAAAAATTGAAAATCAATGTAAAAATATATTGACAATGATACAAAATATTTCAAGAATAAAATAAAAATAAAAAAAAAATTCTCAAAGTCTCTCTCTCTTAAAAATATTTTAAGCATTTTTTGATATCTAATGACTATTAGTAATAGATATAAAACAATTTCTAAAATATAAAAACAAAAATAATTCAGCTATATCCATTGTTTTTTTCATTTTTTAAAATTAAAATTTGGCCTAAAAATTGTTTCAGTCTAAAATTATGATTATTGATATATAAATCTACCAAATTCGTTCATAAAAAATTATCTATTCATATGATATTGATATTTTTGTCAAACATCAAATGTTTAAGAAAGAGTTGAAACACAAATATTTTTAGAAAAAGCATATATATTTTTGGATTTAAAAGCAATTTTTGTTACAAATTTTCTGTATTTTAGTAATCCACAGTAAAAACTGTTGTTACTTTTCTATTAACATATTATACTCATTAAACTTCTAAATTTGCAAAAAAATATTCTGACTAATTTAAGGCAATATTATAAAGTTAAATTTTTTCAAAGTATTAACATCAAAGTTGATCACAGTTATCAATGTTTACAAAGAAATTAAAATTCATCTATGTAAATACAGTCAAGACAGCAACTACTTTTTAACATTAATAATGTTCTTTCTCACATTTATATGTTTCTAGTTATACAAATTTCATATATTTTTATAATAGATATAAGTTCCAACATAAGTTCTGTACATGTTAAGCTATAATAAAATAACAAACACGTCATATTCTGTGTGTAATATATTCAACATTTCAAGAAGTCATCAACATCATATAGACATATAAATCCAACAGAAATCAATTTTATTTTAAAATAAAGTTATAAGTTCAGACTAGTCCCAAAATAAACAATTTTATCTTAGACCAGCAGATGAGCCAGGTGTTGCCTGGGCAAAAAAACAACAACAAACATTAAGATTATTAGATTATTTCATACTTCTAATCCTTCTATTCTAGTAGCCTGGGATGCCCCCTAGTGGGCATTCTAGCAGCAGCGGTGTCATTCCGTGGTATAAATAATAAATTCCTATTACAAATAAAAATAATAATATACTGAATTTCTCATGGCATACCCTACTAAAATGCAGCCAAAAATGCAGAAAACCACATGAAATAATAATATACTGAATTTATCATTAATTTAAATAATAGCTAGGGGTGCCCCTACTGGCCATTTTTGGCATGCAGTGATAGAAGAAAGAATCTGGTTTTTCAGCTTTATATAGTAGATTAAAAAAAAAATTAGTTAACTATACAATATGTACATCATCATATTCACAAAATCATGATTAAAAATAAAAATGCAATTTAACTATTAAGATTATTATTCAAATACAATAACAACTATGTAAAATTACAGTAAAACCCCGCTTAACATGGGGGATGAATTCCTAGACAACAAAGTGCTAAACAAAACAGTGTTAAATAAGGTCATTTTAACACAGAGTAAATAGGGAAAGGGGAACATGTGACCAAAAATAAACAGCTTTTACTTTAATTTTAAGTTATTTTTATATTAATTTGCATAATAATATATGTTAAGTAACACACAAACATATGCACACAGAAATGTAAAGTTCATTTTTTGTGACAAAGGTCCTAACTTTTCTGAAACTCTTGTTTTTTGCAATAAAGTTGTGTAGTTTCATTTTTCACTTTTTTCTTCTTTCATTAAGCAAATGTCAGAAGCAGAAGATCGCATCCAAAACAGCTCATTTTGCTTTTGCATTCATTTCAAAATCTGGATCATTCACTACAATTTGATCAATGATTTTGGTTATTGTTACCAAATTTTTCCTGAAGAAATCTGTAGCAAGTTCTTTGGGTTCTTCATTTTCAGAATCACTAGTTTCCAGCTCTACACAAATTCCTTGTTCTTCCTGTTCTTGAAGGTCGTCGTTGGTAAGGCTCTCACCAGAAATCTGCAGTAACTCCTCAATATCCTGCTCATCTACATCTAGTGCTGCTGTATCGATTAGATTGACAATCTGGTCAACCTAATGATACAGAGGTAGGCTCTTCTTGTTGAGAACTCTTGGATATCTTCAGCCAAAACTTCTTCCACACTTTGTTCATGCATTTATCAGCTAATTCTTGCCAAGCAAAGTCAATATTGCCTATGGCATCCATGATGTTATATTTTTTCCAAAATTGCACAAATCAACATAGATTTAAGGAAACTACAGTGCTACGACTAATTGCCACTTTTTTGTGATTGGTTTGTGTTTGTAAATAATTGTATTATATATGAAATGCCATGATAATTTGAATCAGTGTAAATTTTGAGCTTTTTTTTAGGCTTCGAGCAAACCACGTTATATCGAATCAGCATTAATTGAGGCAGCATTAAGCAGGGTCTTACAGTATTAAAGTTGAATGATCTGCATGTATGTTCCCCACTGATACATGATCTAACAACAAGACATGGTAATATGACAATTAGCATATTATGACCATTTCTATAGATCAATTCAAGTATTTATTTAAAAGATGACCAAACAGGGTCCAAAACATAAATGAAAAAAACAGAAAAAAAAATTCAGCATCCTTTAATGTGTATATTCATTAATTATCTGAGCACTATAAATAATTCTTTTTAGGGCTTATCACACATTATTGAGAACCCACTCAGAGACTGATGAACATTAAGTATTTATTTGTAACCACAGTATGCATTTTGGGCAGACAAGCTGTCCCTCTTCAGCCATTACAATCATTAAATTACAAGCATGTAATCCACAATTGTACATCCATATATCTTGTATCAACAACTTCCCATTAACCATTTGGTTACACAAAATATAAAGAATTTTAATTTTCTGCCCTTTGATTTATAGCTATATAGTTGTTTACCTTACGAAGATTATTTTTAAAACCAATCCACAAACCTTAGGTCACTGGTCATACTTTCCCAATAATTTGTATGGTGTTTTTGATTGAAATTAATCTGTTATTCTCTAATCACATATATTAAAGACCAAGGCTTTTCACATCTTTTTTTCTTGTTTTCTTCAAACTGATAAGTCCTAAGAAAAAGCTATTTATAGTGCTCAGATAATTAATAAAAAAATAATAGCAGGACAAAAAGCATATCAAGTGCATATTCATGTTGTCTTGTTCAAAAGTAAGATATTACACCAACTGAGCAATTCTGTTCAAACAAATTATAATAATATTAATTTAAAACACTACTACTTCCATCTTATATTTGGTATCTACTGATAAATTTTGAAATTAACTCAATATTTGATATAACTATAAAGATGAGTTTATAATTATATTGATTTCAAACAAATTTAATGAAAATATATTGTCAATTACCTTGAGATGTTTTCTAACACTGCTGACTTGAGATTTTGCTAATGTTGGAGGCAAATTAGCTATAATGATATTAAATTTAAATTTTTGATTATTTAACATTAAGATTTTCCTAACAATAAAATTTAAATTATGATAGATTTAATTTAAAAATTAAGACCTAACATTTAATTAAAAACAATATATATAAAATGTGATATAATATGTTATAAACAGAACTAATAAAATATTGAATATGTATTATATTATTATATATCATAGCTACATGGATAAAAACCAATAAATATATAGATTACTTTAAATTATTATTATTTCACATTTTCTCAAAAATATTTTTGTTTAATAAGAAGTTGCTAACTGTTACAAAAAGTTTGTTTCTGTAGTGAACTTAATCATAATATTAATTATATGTCTAATTATTTATTTACAAAATATGCTTCACAGAAACTGACATAAATCAAAACTTACAGTGTAACCCCAATTTATGAGCCTGCTTTTGCCTTGAAAATCTCTCATAAATCAAATTGTAAATAGAGATGTTTATTATTATTTCTCACGGTTGAAATTTGAGCTGATTCTGGTATAATCCTAGTTACCCTACACATTGTCCCCAATAACACTAAAATGCTACAAAATACCTATTTATTCATCAGCCAATATAAAAGGAACTAATGCAAAATGAGAGAAGCAAATACACCATAACAAAAAGCAGATATGTAAGTAATCAGATAATGTTTATTTAATAGTAAGAAAACAATTGCTAGTTAAGATAACAAGTAAGAAAAAAGAAAAAGTAAAATAAAATTGGAATCAATGATAAAAGGATTTGTTAATTATAGATACCATTTACTAAACTGCACAATTGCATAATATCAAATAGTATTACTTATAACAAAAATTCAGTAAAATAAATAAAAAATGGAGACCAGAACCTACAAACCATCTAATTGAAGTTCATGAGAATTTCAATTTTGTCAAACTCGTGATTACAATATTTTGTTCTCATAAATATCAGTCAGCAGCTGTATTAATATTTTGTCTTATCTTGTCTTGAATGGGGAAGAGAAGTAAGTACGTATAAGAAAAAATTTATAACAAGTTCTTCTATATCAAGTATAGTGGGTAATCGGTTAATGAACATAATCTGTTCCAAGACTTTGTTCACTACCCGAATTGTTTGTTAACCAATTATTGATTTACCATAGGTTTCTATGGAAATTTGATTAATTTGTTCTGGAGATTCCCAAAAAATAAAAAATATATACTTTCTTACTACATTTATTCATATGTAATAATAAAAACATATATACACGGTCTTGCATTTTTATTTGTCATGTTTTTTCCGTTTGTGGGGGTTAAAGAATCTGTCCAATGTCGATTGCTTTTCTGTCTTCTTCATGATTTTTCAGAAGTAATTAATCGCATTGTAATTCTAGAGATCCCTAAGCTTATTAACCTCAACCTGATTTGTATGCCATTTTAAAACTGTCGTTCTGACATCCTCCCACTTCTTCAAAAAATCTTTAATAGCAGATATCAGCATAAATCTGCTTTTTCAGAAGAAAACGTAAAAGAATTGTTTCTATCAGAAATATAAAAGGCTGGAATTTCAAGGGAGAGTTCAGGGGAATACTATCCGATCAGTATATACTGGGTTGAATGTCGATGTTGACGTCTCTTGCACTCCGAAAAGTTTCGAATTGTTGCCTGAAGACAAGGAAGACCAATTGGTATTCGTTATTTTACGTCGCTTCTTCTTGTGTTTGTTCAGTGAAGTGTTTGTTATCCAAACATGTGTTCGTTGTCCGATCATAAAATTCTTTTGCGAAAGTGTTCATTAACCGATCACTCACTGTACTCATAAATTGGGGCCTATATTACTGCACTAAAAATAAATTTAGGAGTTTCTAATTATTTAAGATTAAAAAAAATCAACTGTTTAAATAAAAATAAATTTATAGTGAACAAATTTGTCTTACCATGTAATGCCTCAAGTGCTTGTATAACTTTAGACATAAACTGTGATCGATGTTTTGCAATAAGAGTTAATGTTTGCATGCATGCCATTAAATTAACACTGTAATAAATTATCTATATGAGTAATTTAATTAATACAAAATTTATTTCAGAAAACATGAAAATCTCATGCATATTAAATAATGTAAACTTTTTTTGGAAAATCCGTAATGAATCCATTATTGAAACATTTTAATAAAAATTTCCTTATAAATTGTGTCAAGGAATCACTCTTTTTTTTTAATTCAAAACATTTCAGAAAATTCAACTTCTCATCCTCAGTGATCTCAAACATTCTAATTAAACAAGAGATTTTTGAACATTTTTAAGTCCTAGAAATTAAAAATTAATACAGAAAAACAAAGAATAAACTTAAATATTTCTAGGATTTAAAAATGCTTAAAATCTGTTGTTCCATTAGAACATCTGAGAATGCTGAAGATGAAAAGCGGAATTCTTGAAACTATTTTGAATTAAAATAAGACCTCTTGATTTGAGATTTGATATGTTTTACTAGCTAGTTATATAACATGAAGTTGTTATCTCTTGTGAATTTTCTTTTCCTGAATTCAGTAGAAGACAGTATTTTGTATTTTTATGTTTAGATCTTCTTTGTGCAATAAAAATAAAATTAAGTCACTTCTTAATTATAACCCTCCTGAAATTCTTTATGCATAAAAAAAAACAAATTTAAATCATTTTAAATTATATTTATTTTCATATTTCTTAAAATAATGATATTAATAAATTATATATTAAAATTATTCCATACATAGTATTTTTGAAAAGTTTATGAAATTTAAAACATCTTTATTATCTCTATTTATTACTACTTATTATACAATGAATATTTTCAGAAATCAAAAGTATTTTTCTATGATTAAATAATTTAATTATTATTATTAATATATAGTCAAACCTTAATGTAACATTACCATTTGTTCATCATGTAAAATGTCCCTAAACTGAAGTAACTCAAAAAATATGAATTATATATAGCAATGAAGTCTACACACAAACTTGTTCCCCAGTGACAGTGATATTGCATTTTTTGAAATCAGTCAGAAGAATCTCTTCAGAATCCCAAAAACTCATGGCTATGATCTATTAAGATTATGTCATGTTTGCTTTCTTGAGCCTTGAAGAACTAGGATGATTCCACTCTATTTTCAATAGAGGATCGTGATAAAGAATCATACTTTCATCCCCAATAATAATTAATTCAATAATTTCTTTCTTTCAGTATTCATAAAAACTCTTTGCAACATCTTACTTGCTGTTTCTTTTGAACTGAAAAAAGAAGTTTCAGCACCAATCTTGCACTGACTATTCACACTGAGATGTTTGCGTAGGATTCACAGTACTGATTTTTGAAACAGCATATATTATTTCTAATTCCAAATGACATCAATCTGAACTATATATTAACTACACCATTTTAAATTTCCAAAATAACATTTAAGTGAAGTGTAAAAATTAAATGCTGTATAAAATTTTATCAACAAAAATATTTGCCTATAAATCTTATTTAAGACAATAAAATTATTCAAAATAATTGTAGTAATAGCTCATCTTATTATAAAATATTTTCTGTAAATAGGAAAANATTCTCTAATGATTGAATCAGCATTTTCTCAATCAATAGTAATGGATCAAAACTTATTATATCAGTCTGTATACCATCCATGGTACATCAACATTTTAAACATCCTGTCTACTTCGAATATCATAACTGCTAATAGTAGTCACTGGTAAATTTATATAAAATAATATTTATTTATCTTAATTTTATAAAGCACAGAAAATGAAAATAAATAAAATCTTACTATATAATAAAATGAAATGACAAATACCTTGAAATATGTGCAGTTCCATGAAATACAACTAAAGTCTCAAACATTTGTTTAGCCTCTTCTTCAAGTTTATGTGGCCTAATAACTTTCAAAATAAGAGGTACTTCATCTAAAGCTATATCATTTTCCCCTTTCTTAGGACTGTCAGCATCCTATATATAAAAATAGTTCATTGTTTGTTTAAAACAGAAATATTAAAATTTTTAACTTTTAATAATTAAAAAAATAAAAATTACTTTAAAGTAGTTAAAGCCAATGTATTAAGGTTTGAGGTATGTTTTCATGTTTTTGATTTTTTAACCAAATTTCATGTCCTCTTGTCTACCAGTTTTATCTTAGTAGAAAAAAACTTGAGTTGTTTAGTATCTTATCAGTATTTGATTAGCTACATGAAAACACACTTTTAATAAAAATTATTTCTACATAATGAATATATTATGGTTAAAAAGTAAAAACCAAAATTCTTACAGGATATGTCTGGACTATCACAAGCATTTCAATAAATTTGATAGCATGAGTTCTAATCCTTAAAACAGAAAAAATAAATATATTTTAAAAATTTAATTCATTTATTTCATAATAGCTATATTAAAAAGTAATAATAAAGCAAATAGAGATGCTGAATCTGGGAAATGAAATTTTAGATCCGATAATTACCTATGGCGAATTAGATACATCAATCAATAAAATGAAAACAAAATCTGCACCAGGTATGGATCTAATTACAGTTAAATTCTTAAAATTATTACCACCATCAGGAAAATGAGCATTTATTGAACTATTCAATTCATTCTACAATTCATCAAACTTTCTGGAAAATTGGAATACAGTAAAACTGATAATGATATACAAAAAAAGGAGACAGAAAAGATCCAGGAAATTACAGACCACTCGCATTACTACCAACATTACAAAAATGTTTTACTTCTGTACTGGCACTATGATTCCAACAATGGACTGAAGAACTTAACTTAAACTCAAAATTTCAATTTGCATTTATAGAATCAAAAGGAACAGAAATGGCATTATTCTTCTTATCATCAATAATACAAATTTACTTACTAAAAAAACACAGGAAAATATATTCAGCTTTCATTGATATATCAAAAGCCTTTGATTCAGTTCATGTCCCAACTTTAATAAATAAATTTAAGATAAGTGGATCAGGAAAAAATTCTCAGATTCAATTGCAAAATTATTTTCAATCTACAGAATCAACATTAATCACGGTAACCAGATATTCCCAAAATTAAACATAAACCGAGGATTACTACAAGGAGAACCACTATAGCCATATTTGTTTAATTTTTATTTAAATGACATTGATAATTTATTTCTACTCGATACTGAAGGAATTCAAATTTCTGGAAGAATTTACCACTATATATTATATGCAGATGATCTTGTATTACTTGCACCAACTAAAATTGCATTGCAATACAAACTAAATATAATAAACAACTATCTGAATTCCCTGTTTTTAACAATCAATATCTCTAAAACCAAAATAATTATATTTAGAAATAATGTTAAACTTCCAAAACAAGAAAAATCATTCTATTTAAATAATAAATCTCTCACCTTAGTAAATGAAATAAAATATTTAGGAATATCATTCAATTGGAATTGGAATTTTCAACCACACTTGAAAAATCTAACATCAAAAATAAATACTTTAATGGATAATGTTATTTATTTATGCATAACTTTAAAAATGACAAATATAAAACTATAGATGAAACTATTTAACCTTCTGATTATCCCTTCAATATACTATGCAAGCTCTATTTGGGCAATAATAGACTTACTATACGATTTAGAAAAATTTCATGTTATTTATTTACAAAAATTATATAAAATAGAAAAACAGTTCCTGGTTATGCAATCCGTGCCAAAACTAACAGATTCCAACTATTTCCGTTTTATTTAAAGAGACTGATTAAGTTCTATTATAGATTAAAACAGTCTAATGAAGATAACATAAGATTCTTACATCAAATAATGCTAAATCAAAATTTTAACTTAGATAACAATAAAAATCTATGACAATATAAATTCAATAAACTATTACAATCTTTTTGTGTATCAAACAGATTATTTGATAATTCAGAAATGAATTGGCAATATGAATATTCTCTAATGATTGAATCAGCATTTTCTCAATCAATAGTAATGGATCAAAACTTATTATATCAGTCTGTATACCATCCATGGTACATCAACATTTTAAACATCCTGTCTACTTCGAATATCATAACTGCTAATATCAGTATGAATATAAAAAGATTATTAATTCAATTAAGACTTAATAAATATTCATTGTTTATCAATAATACTTATTTTGATTTTACTAAAGACAGATGTTATTGGTGTAACTCAAGTGACTATTCTTTGAACAATTTACTAAGAGACTGTGAAGGACTAAAGAAATATCAAAAATATGAAATTAAAGAACTAATATGTACAAAGCAAAATCAAGACTTTAGAACTAAATTAAACAACCTCATGTTAAATCAAATGTATAAAATTAACAGTTTTTTTAATCAAATCGCCAAAGACCTAAAAAATATGTAATAAATTAATAAAACTAAAAAAAATTGTTTTTTTTTTTACTAATTATGTTACTTAAAGTAAAATATTTAAAAGATAAATATCGACAAAATTTACTATTAAATGGTTATTGTAATATTATTGTGATTTTGAAGATGATGTACATCAAATGATTGATAGATAACAAATGTATATTAATATATCATTGGAAAAATACCCCCTGTAACAAGGCTTAGCCTTAATGCAAATAAAAATATTTGATTGATTGATAATAAAACAAATAAATTTAACTATACATTTAAATGTATTATGAGATAAGCTGTACTTAAAGGTATATGATAGATTTTGCATTTGTTAAGATTTTTTCAATAAGTTCATATTGTTGACATAAAATATTGACTTTACTAGTGGAATATTTTAAAACTGCTCAATTTAAAATTTTAATATTAATTTCCAGAATTTTTCAGATATTTTCAAATGCAATCCAATGTAATTTATATTACATAAGTTAAAATGTTGTAAAGTTAAGATAGAAAAATCTTATTTTACAACATTTTAACTTATGTAATATAAATTGCATTAACAACTCAATTATTAAAATAAGTTAGCATTACAAGCAAACATATTGCCATCTGTGATTATTAAAAAATAATCTAATAAAACTTAGAAAAGACTACAAAAGAAAATTATGTAGTTATCAAAATTAGCTTTATAAAAATATTTTGAATAGTTTTTGAGATAATATTCAAAATTCATTTTTCAGTTCTAAGATAAACTGATCAAATAAATTTTCTGGCTCTAATTACATTCACAATATGTCTTTATAATCTGTTCTTTTCCTTTTTATTTTTTGTTCTGTTAGAATTTTAAAGTACTTTAAATACTAGTTCAATTACATTTAAAGTTTCTTTTATCCTCAGATTTTTTAACCATTGTATTTTGGAATTACTAGATCAACAAGTCCTTATCAAATCATATTTTATTATTATTAATATATTAAATATAATATAAACATGTAATAAATTCTTATTGTTTTTACCCATCATTTTCAGATTCTAGAAGACGAATGATCTGAGTTTTTAATTTTGACATATAAGCCCATGTTGATTCCATAACATCATCTATAGTCTTTGCTTTACACAACCACTGAAAAAAGAAAAACATTTAAAAAGTTAAACATTAATAATGTAAAAATGTTAAACATGTAAAAATGCCTTATGTCTATTAATACACCTAGTTGTGAATAAAAAAACAAATAAAAGAAGACACTTCTCAGAATACATAATTAAACATTAATGTTAACTTTACATAAAAATCTATAAAGACACATACATACATAGGCTGTTTTTTTTAACCTCCGATGGTCCATAAAACAAAGACAAGTGTAAATAACAAAATGAATTTATTACCAAAAGTTAGGTACAAACATGGTTACTTTTTGACATAATCACTGTGAAGATTGAGGAATTTGTCATATCTGTGGATGAACTTCGCAATCCCCTTTTCATAGAATGTTGTTTTGAAGATCGTCGTTAGTATCTAACCTCTGCTCTCCTAGCCACATTTTCAGTTCAGGAAAGAGGTGGAAGTCTTCAACCTCTTCCCTGAACTGAAAATGTGGCTAGGAGGGCAGCGGTTCAAGACTAATGACAATCTTCAAAACAACACTAAGGCCCATCTCAAATCACTGGCTGCAACATTCTATGAAGAGGGGATTGCATAGCTTGTTCACAGATATGACAAATGATCAATCTTCACGGTGATTATGTCGAAAAGTAATCATGTTTGTATCTAACTTTTGGAATAAATTCATTTTGTTATTTATTACTTGTCTTTGTTTTAGAAATCATCGAAAGTTGAAAAAAAAAACCACTCTTGTATATACAGTATATCATGGATATTGTTGTAAGTCATTTAATTCTATTAAAATTAGCATGTCCCAAAATATGTAAGTTAATATATAATCATAAGGCCAAGACTTCACTAGAGTAAAAACCCTCACTGTAATTATTTTTAATCACACGACCATGGTATTTCATGCTGGTGCAGAGCATAAAATGAGTGTGCAGTGAGTTGAGCATTGTTCAAGTTTTGATGCAAATATGTCCGTAAAATGCTATCATCAACCAATCAGAGGTTGGTGGACTTCTATGTCATTGTGACATTGTGCAAAAATTGCAGGAAATGAGCTTATGCACATTCTCTCTATACACTTTCTTGCTTTCACAATTTTGGAGCTTGTGAAGTTTTTTGATTAGTTTTAACATTATAATGACTACTATGAAAAGGCCTAGAATAGACCTGGAAAGATTTATTGAAAATGTCAGAAAATACCCTTGTATTTACACAACAAGAGTCATCCTGATTATAAGAACAGATATCTAAAACAAGTAATATAGATGACTGTAGGAAAAACCCTTTAATTAAGGTATATAATAAGTATATTAAGTATATAATAAAAATAATTTGTTGATTTACAGTTAACAATTGTCCAAAAGGTTAGAAAGATGATAATTTTGACAACTGCTAGACTAATTTTTGAGGTTAGTGAGATTTTGTTTTATTTAATAAGTTGTCCAGTTGAAATTTGAAGAACTCTTAATATAATGCTTAAGCATTAAGTATTACTTAAAAAAAAAATAAGTTGATAAAGGCTCAAAAAAGAAAGACATTACAGCAAAGTTTGGAATTCTCATGTCTAGTTTATCAACAATAACAACAAATTGTGAATTAATTTTGAAATTAGCTGATGATGCAGACCTACAGCAAAATATGCAAGAATCTGCATTTATGTCAATGTAGATCAGTGTTTCTCAACGGGGCAATATCACCCCCATGTGGGCATTTTTCCATGTTCAGGGGGCGGTTAGTAACAATTTATATTTTGGGGGGCAAAAAACAATTTTCTGGGCGATATAGTAAAACATTATATTAAGAATAATTAGATATTTTATTTGTTATATCATACAATAATTAAACAAATAACATTATACTAGTCACTGGTCTATTCAATGCAGTATGAATTTGGCATTAGCCTTGGCCCTCGGCATCGGAATTTTGAAGTGAAGGGGGCGATACTACGTAACGGTTTTATTGAAGGGGGCGATACTACGTAACGGTTTTATTGAAGGGGGCGATACTACGTAACGGTTTTATTGAAGGGGGCGATACTACGTTGAAGGGGGCGACAATTTGTTACAGATTGAGAAACACTGATGTAGATGAAGCAGTTTTAATGCTCTTAATAAGTGTTAAGCATATTACAAAGAGAGATCATTTTTTAATTGTTCTGCACAACAAAATATGAGATTTTTTTTTAAAGACAATGTAGTTAAATTAGCTGGTATTTTAACACTTAAATGTAAACTTACTTAAATTACATTAATATTATGTTATTACTGTATATTATGTTTACATTAATTTAAATTAAGTACAATAAAACAAATTATGTTAAAATAATACTTTATTTACCAAAATGTGTAATTTCTGTATAACAAAATTTCCCTGTAGTGAATTTTTTTCAGGATTTAATGACTTTGTTATATTGAAGTTTGAATGTATATATCATTTATGATACCTCGTATTTACTGTATGTACTGATTTTATTAATTTTATTGCAGGTTTTGTATTCATTGTATTTGTTTCAATTTTACTAAGTTATTAAATGCTAATGTTTACTACAGTTACAGTCAAACCTGTCTAACAAAATCCTATGGGACTATACAATTCTTCCATAGCAGATAGATTTCTGTTACATACAGATTACCTATACAGGTATCCTTTGATTAACACAATTAATTGACCAGATGTCATGCAACTGCTTAAAGAGTAAATTCATCTTTGTGTTATCAGAGGAAGGATAAGACATAAATTAATAAAGCCTTAGTGGTTATCACATTCCAAGTCAATATCTATCATTTCAGGCAGCAGCGCACTTGAAATATTGTCGGAGTTGATGTACTGTTTTTTTACACACTATACAAACTGCATCATTTGGCATTAATCATTTTGGCCTTTCCTGATTCCTTTTAAATTTTTTTTTCCACTGATAGATGTTTGTTACATTTCTGTTTATATTTCCTTTGCAATTTCTTTGACATTGTGAAAATTTTCTTCAACTTTCTTCAACTCACACACTTATCGACTTATAACTTGACAAATTCTATTTTATTGGTTATTATTGCTAAATAACATTATAGATCCTGTCATTCTGTACAAATCAACACCAATTTTAACTTCTTATCTCTTTGCAATCCAAAGTTACACACTGCCCAAATGCTGTGCAGCGTCACATTTTCAGTGTTCACATGCAACCACAAACTCCCCTCACAACTGCATACTGCACTATCCATCATGTTAAATAAGAACATAAACCCTCTATCCAACAAAATTTAATTGTTAGATTTTCATTTATAATTTACAAGATATAAGCATGACAAATCTTGTCATTATTTTGGTTGCTCCAGTTTTCATAGACTCCCTATACCAAACTGAATTTAAAGATGTATTCAGATCAAAAAGAGCAAGAGTGACAGATGAATTCCATAATATTTGCAGATTCCCTGACATTTGATGCCATTCCCTGACTTTCCTTCCCTGTTAAAAATCTAATTCTCTGACTTTCCAGATGTGTATGGACCTTGTGCCTATCTTCATCAGACAATATTACACTTGATCCAGTTTGTTTTTTTCACTTAATATGTGTTGAACACAATCATCATCATGTTTTACAAACATTTCAAGTTGATGAAGTATTCTGATAATACATATCTGTGACACACTAAGATTTGTTGCAAGTTCATTCATGGGATTTTAACAATTTCTTCCCACAATTTTACTTTGTCAACAGCTTTTGGGTAGCCTGTATACAAAATATACATATCCTTTAGTTCAAAATGTTCCTTTGTTTTTAAAGGAATCGGTGGTCAAACGACAGTCCAATCCGTAGCAGGTTAATAGTTCACATCAAGGTTTGCCTCAGACAGGTCGGCTGGCCATTCTGGTGCAATGTGTCATGCTACGCTGCCCCCTCCAGAAAAACCAAACTGCCCAAGCAGAAGACAAAATTGCTTTATCACCACCATCCATTAGGCCTACAGGACACCTGATATGGATTTTATCTGTAGACATTTTGACTTGATTTTATTCAAACAAAAATGTAATGTAAAAAGTTTAAAATAAGCTTCTAAACAAAGAATACAATCTCATTTTAGCAATAACTTGTTAAATTTCATGACATTTGTAAAGTAAATTTCACAACTGTCATAGTTAATAGGTGATAGTTACCAATAAAAATTATTATTGTAAAACAATTTTATTTTATAATAATTAATATAAACACTAAAATAGCATGGTTGAAATACAAGATAATCTCAATTTATTCATTAACCATTGAGATCTTAGTGGACAATTATTCCTTTTAGAAAGATGTTTTATTCAATAGCATATTTCTTTTTACAATAAATTATATATGTATTAAGTAATGACAGCTGTTAAATATATGCAAAAACTTTTTGTTCAACCCAATATAATCTTTACTTATTAATCATGGCATCCAAGAGAAGTGTGAAAGCAACAAATTCTAAGAAGAAGGTTATGATATCAATGATTGAGATGAAAAAGGAACTTATCACTTAAGCATGAAAGCAGTACATGTGGCAGATCTGGCAGCTATGTTTAAGATGCTGAAGTCGATGGTGTGCAACCAATAAATGCAATTTTCATTTTATTATACAGTATTTATGTATTTTATTTATTATTTTCATGTTTTAATTTCTGAATCAAAACTGAAATTTTCCTTTTAAAGTATTTTTTGGTGTTCATTACTTGAGGTTCATCCTTCAATAAAATTTTTGAGCCCTTTTAAAAATTCATATTCAAGTCATCACCATAAATAAATTTTGAATCTTTGGATGTTAAAAAGTCCATTAATTACTGTCTATCCTAAAAACAAAAATAATTATTGATGGCACTGACTTCAATTTTATTTCTATCAATCAATATACTGCACCAAGATTATAACTGTATTTGCTATAACAACGATGACATGTGCTTAAATTACAGTTTTCTTTTAATCTAAAATATTTTGTACGTTTACATAAAATATGTTTATTATATATATATATATATTTTTTTTTAAATATTATTATTATTATAATTATATTATATAAGTTCATATAAAATATTTTTATGTGAACTTGTCAGTTTAGTGTTGCATGGAAAATTGTATGGTACAGTAGACCTATTTAATTATATGTATGCTTTAATTTGAATTTTCCCAACTATGTAATAGTAATTATTGGTTCATAAATTATGGTTTTATTTTGTGCACAATAATTTTTAGGAAAATTTTGGGTCCTGAAAATATTCTGCACCACTTTTCGTATGTTGCATTGCACCACATTACTTCTTTCTGCTTGCAGATAGCTACACTTGGTCAACCATACTGTGAGCAAAAAATCACAAGGCAGCCAAGGAAGCAAATTCCCAGACTTTCTAGGAACCCTGTGTGTGTATCTATATATATAATCTAAAATTGTCAAAAAGTCAAAACTTGTCAAATTGTTTTATTAATGATATATTGTATATATATCTCATTAATTAATAAAACATAAGTAAATTGAATATATTATTTACATTAATCAACTGTATTTACCATATTTACTCATATAAGATAGGTTTTTATCCATTTTTCACTGCCTCAAAAACCTAGGTTGTCTTGTATGTGCGAGTGAAGGATTCTTTTCATTTTTGTATAATTTTTGTAAACTATGTATTCGCATATTTTACCAGATTCTCACCTTCTGGTGTTTAAAAAGAAAAGTATTTTATCTGGGTTTGTTTGAATCATTGCCAGGAGTAAAGATGAATAGCAATAGAAAAAGCAAAGCTTTTGAATTGAATTCCAAAATTACATGGGAGCCCAATATAAGTTTTAATCCATTCCCACATGAAAACAGATGATTATTTGGAAATTCAAAGAAACTCATAAGTGTAATTGACAAAGAATGAATTTGACTGTTAAGAATTGGCAAAAAAGGTTCCCAATTGACCAGCTTTGCATGAACATATTATGTTGTTGATTTTACAAGATTTTTTCTTGAAGTTTAAAATGCCAGTAATTTTTGTGGAACAATGTGTGCATTTACATACATTTGATATTTTATTTGTTATTAAACAAAATAAAATTAGAATTGCATTAATAAATCTAATTTTCTTTATTTTGATCTTTAAATATATGCGAGATTGTCTTATATACAAGTAAATATGGTATATTATTTGACAACTTTTATTTCATATCATACAGGAAAGAAATACTTCAAATCAGAAATATATAATTTTAAATATTATTCAAACAAAGTATAAAATTTACCTGTAAAGCTACTTTAAATAACTGAGTAGCAGCTTGTATAACACGTTTTTGAACAGCAACAGCTTCATCTGCCAACATCATATTCAAATTTGCTACTACTTTTGGTAATGTTTCAGGATCCTTCTTACTAATATAAACAAATAAAAAATTTTATTAGTCTGTATATTTTGGTTTTAATTTTAAATGATATTATTAATTTTATTTAAGATAAATGCTTCTGAAATCTATTTCATAATGCTATTATAACATCAGTGCAAGTCCATGCATTGAAACACACTCCTTAAAAGTGAAACTGCAATACCATGAAGAAATGAGCAAAGCTACATCAAATTGCAGGACTGGTAGAGATGACAGAGTTATCAAATGATTAAGTTTGCATATGCATTGGGTCATGTGGTACCCAGTTTCAGGCTGTAAAGACCAGCAGCCAGCAAAGGGCTGTAAATGCTATCAGCAATAGTTCATGGTAGTTGAACTTTTGAAGAAGCATAGAAAATACCTCAGAGATGACAGCAAGGTGAAAACCACCAGTTAATGGCTGGGAGAAGAGACTGCATCCTAGAGCTGCATGACTTCAATTTGTTGATGCACAGAGGAACATGTGCAAATGTGCCAAAGAGAAAGTGGACTGCACTAGTGCACAACAGTGTGCACAGACTGATAGATTTGCCAAATTGCCTGTTGGGATCCATTCGCCATGGCATCTGTCATCCAAAGTTGCCTGTTCTGTCAATAGGTGTATCTGTGTCCACCTAAACCATTCATAACAGTTTGTATGAAGTCGGGCTGCATGCATGGAAACCAGAAATAGAGGAGCCATTAACTGCTCAACATGGCTGCGCACCTGGCGTGGTGTCATCATCATTGTAACTGGTCCTCTGAATGACACTGGGTATTGTTTGCAGATGAATCCCGCTTCTTTCTATGGAGGAATGACAACCGTAGATGGGTGTGGAGGTATCCCAGGGAAAGCTATGTCTCAGCCCTTTTTGCCAAGCATCATACCAGCCACATATGAAACATCATGGTTTGGGGGAGGCATGATATTCCATCAGCAGACAGCTCTGGTACATATTTTCAGTATTCTGACAGTGGATCAGCACATCACAAACTGCAAGACATGTGGTTAAGCCACTGGGCAGGCCACATTTGACGCAGTGTTCCATTAAGACAATGTCAATCACATCACACAGTAAACTCTCACCAGCCTAAACAGAATTCACATCCTACCTTAGCTGTCAGCCTCACCAGATCTCTCTCCCATCAAACACCTGGGGTCGTCATCCAGCATTAGGCGAATCAGGGACAACTGCCACACACCATACATGCATGTGTGGTGCAGTGAATGCAGCTTGGCAAGGGATACCTCAGGCAACCATTAATCGTCTCACTGATAGTATGCCTTGCCATATAGTGGCCTATATAGCTGCCCTTGGGGGCAATATTCCATACTGATTAAATAGGTGTCTGTTGCATATCTCTGTTTGTTCTTTTAATCATTTGCATAAATCTCTCACTTCTACTGGTCCTGCAATGTGCATTCCTTTGTGATGCTGAAATTTCACTTTTAAGGAGTACAGTAGTGTGTCGATTTTCCGAAAGTCAATCATCTGAAAGAATTCCAGTCGGCAAATTTAAATTTTTGCCAGTGCTGTGGCGCTTCAATCTTTGGCTATGTCTTGGGCTACTCAAATATTTTACGTTTTTGATACTAAATTAACAGCTGAAGTATAATTTTTTATTGTTTTTATATTTTTCAATATATTTATTTTGTTCGTAAAAAATAAAAAAATAATTTTAAATGATACAATAGTCTTTGTTAGGCTTAACATCGACGAAAATTCAATGCAAAGCAACATGCAACGGAAAAAAATTTCAACATCGGATACTATTTTTTCGTACATAAATCGGTTATCCGAAATATCAGTTATACGAATAACCCCAGTCCCCAATTGATTCGGAAAATCGATGCTCTACTGTACATATTAAAAAAAAAATAGTCAAATTTTTGAAAACATGTTAAACTAATATAAGAGAGCAATTTTATTAATTTATCAAACTAGCACAAATAACTGACACAATAATAATAATAACAACCTTAGAGTGTAATATTTAAAAATTTCTCAAGAAACTTGCCTCAATAAAGGCTAGTTTACACTTCTTTTCTGCTAATTATTGCAATTCTATAGCATCAGATGATGTTGAAAAATAGGAACAATACTATAGTATTTGGAAAAATGTGTACATTTATTATGAAGTATAATATATTCAAAACTTAATGCAAAATGATCAGATTACATCATGTAAGCAACATGATATATTAGCAACAATTCTGTAAGACTAAATGGTACTGAGAACCCCTTGTTTAGCAGTGCAATGGTCCTTAGAATGAACTCCTGACATGAAGTTTGACCAATAGTTGTTTGAAATTTTGGCCAACTTTTCCTCCATCTTGTTAATCAATCTCTGGCTTGATTTTTCAAGTTGTTCATTAGTATAGATCTGTCCTTTATATCACAAGCTCAAAATTGGTCAATTGGTAGGAATTAAAGTATGTTTGGAGAACTGTTTTCTTTGATCAGGGCTACAGAGTATAGGTGCTGTTGTTCACTACATAAGGATGGCTAATCAAAGGAGGCAGCATTTTAATCGATTATATATATATATAATGAAATTTATGTATAATATAATAATAATATAAAAGTTTTTTAAATAAAAACTCATAACAACCAGGGAAGTTGTGCAACTTGTTGCTAGATTTTTTAATTCTTTTGTAATTTGTTCAACACATTCAATGACTGTTTGTATATTAATTAATTAAATGAATTAGTTTTGCATCATTTTACTGACAACATTAATTTTAGTTAAAATATCATGCCATAATATAAATTTTATTTTATATATATATATTTATTTATTTTA